GCTCACTCTCCTCCAAAGAACGCAACTGGGCACAAATCGAGAAGGAACTACTGGCCGTAGTTTTTGGACTTGAACATTTCGACCAGTACACCTATGGCACGAATGTGATCGTACAGAACGATCACAACCCTCTCGCGTTGATTCTAAAAAGCCGCTCAGTCAGGCACCCAAGCGCCTGCAAAGCCTTCTTATGAGAATCCATCGCTATGATGTGGATTTTCACTTTCTCAAGGGATCAGAACTTGTGATCGCTGTTACCCTGAGTCGTGCTTACATTGACTCACCTGACCTGCGGCCCCATATCATGACCATCAACTTCTTTCCGGACATATCTGACGCTAGAGTGCAAGAGGTCAATGAAGCAACTGCACACGACGCATCACTTGCATCGTTGAAATCGCTTATTCTCGAGGGCTGGCCTGATGCAAAGCCAAAGTACCAAACGAGGCGCGTCCATACTATGATATGAGGGACGTGCTTAGCTACGCCCATGGAATCATCCTGAAGGGCGAAGCAATCCTGATACCAAGATGTTTGAGACAAGACATCATGAAGAGACTTCACTCAGCTCACATGGGCTACAACAGCATGATGCGTCGTGCACGTTCTCTTGTCTTTTGGCCTGGCATGGCCAAAGACATTGAACAATGCGTGGACACTTGTGAACCATGTCAAGAACTGGGACCACGAAATCCGCGCGAAACCCTCAAGCCACAAGATGATGGCAATGGCCCATGGGACAAGATCGCGTGTGACTTCTTTAAGGCGAAAGGTCGCTAATACTTGGTGACAATAGATTACTACTCAAACTTTATTGAAGTATCCCACCTCGTGTTATTAAGGAATTTGCTTATGAATTGTGTTTTCCATTATCTGTCATTTTTAATTGTTCCCTTCAGGAGGGTGTTGTTCCTAACATTTGGAAATCTGCTTATGTTGTTCCGGTTCCTAAGTCTCATCCTCCGAGTCTCGAGAATGTTCGCCCCATCTCTCTCACCTGTGTTTTCTCAAAAGTATTTGAAGATTTTGTTGTTGATTGGATTAACAATGATATTTGGCAGTCTATAGATACTTATCAGTTCGGATCTCGTAAAGGTTTATCTACCACTCATTGTTTAGTTAAATTATTTGATGGTATTTACAAAGGAACAGACAAACCGAAACACTCATTTGTTTTAGTTACTACAGACTTTAGTAAAGCATTTGATCGTGTCAGCCATCAAATTGTAATTAAAAAGTTTATTGATCTGGGTGTTAGACCTTCCATTATTCCTTGGATCACCAGTTTTTTATCTGATAGAAGACAGGCTGTTCGTATTAATGGTGCTGTCTCCAACTGGGCTGTGACTAATGTAGGAGTGCCACAGGGCACAAAAATTGGACCGGTAGCTTTTTTAACCATGATAAACGACTTTGTCCCAGGTCATTCGAGTGTCACTCATTTTAAGTATGTTGACGATATGAATTTGTGCCAAATTTATGATAATCCTGAACAGACAACCATTTTGCAGCAGGAACTCAATCATTTACAGGAATGGTCCTCCAATAACCTGATGAAACTTAATCCTAGTAAATGTCAGGTTATGGTTTCATGTTTTCAAAGACACCCCCTAGCATGTCCTAACTTGTACATAGGGGATGATATTTTAATTCAAACTAAGTGTGTTAAGGTTTTAGGCATTCATGTACAGGATAATTTGAAGTGGGACACCCATGTTAGTTCTATGTGTAAAGTTTTTAACCGTAAATTGTACTTTTTACGTCAGTTAAAACGTTGCAAAATCCCTGTTCCTGATTTATTATCCATCTATGTGCAATATATTAGGCCTACTTTGGAATATGCCTCGCCTGCCTGGTTTGGAAGTCTGACCACAGCACAAAAAGAATGCCTGGAAAAATTGCAAAGGAAAGCTTTCCGCATAATCTTCCCTGAGTATGGTAGGAATCACTCTTATCAGCATATTTGTCAAGTTCATCACATCCCTCCTATCTCTGAAAGGCTAGAATTGCTTTGTTTAAATTTTGGTAGTAATGTCTTGCATTCTCATGTTCATAGAGATTGGCTACCTTCGTATAGAGATAATAACCTCAGAAATTCCCGTAAACTTTCCAGTATCAGATGCAAAACCAATCGGTATAAAAACAGTCCCATCCCATTTTTAACCTAAATTTTAAATAATCAGTAGTTTTTTTTATATATATATACTTGGCAGGTTTTTTTTTTTTTTTTTTTTCTTTCTTGCCAACCAGTTATTCAGTCTTTGTGTGTGCTCGGTGCAAAATGTTTTAATTGTCATTGTAATAACTGTATTTCTATTTGTCTTGTGCGTTGCATGTCATGTTTTTGAATTGTAAGCTTGCGTGTTTATGTGTGTGACCTTTATGTTATTTATTGTAATATTTCATTGTTTTTAATGTTATGGTTGTGTAATTTTTATTGTGAACTTGTGAGGGGAGGCGCAATTCAGCCTCTGGCTGCAATGTCTCTTTTTTGTATGATTGAATAAATAAACCATGAATATATATATATATAATATATGCCTACAACCACCAGCTCCCGTCTGATTGTGGTGCTGAAAAAGCAGTTCGCTCGTTTCGGTATCCCTCGTGTGCTGACATCTGACCAGGACCCACAATTCACTTTTTGTGAGTTCCAGAACTTTTTGAAAGACTGGGGAATCCACCATGTTCCTTCCTTCCCTGGACACCACAGTGCCAATGGGAAAGCTGAGGCAGCCGTGAAAGTTGCCAAACACCTCATCTTGAAAGCAAGTAAGGATGGCACAGATCCGAACATTGCCTTATTGGAGCAGAGGAACACACCGCGCGAGGACACCCCCTGCTCCATCATACCCCGTTCCAGAAGGACATCCATCACCCGGACATCGCGCAGAAAAAAACAGAACGTAGAAACATCGTCAAGCGTTACCACGATCGCCGAGCCCATGATCTTCCCAGACTGCAACCTGGCCAGAGAGTGTACTTCGAGCAGAAGGAGCACAACCGCTGGGTCCTTGGCAAGGTGGTGGAAGTCCTCTGTGATCGCACATACATCATTGAAGGCGCGAATAATGGCCCATACCATCGCAACAGGGTGCAAATGCGCCCTACCAAGGTGGACATACCCAAACCTAGGAACACCCCACCCCTATTTTGGCTACCTACAACCTCCCCTGGAACCGTGTCACAACCTCGCAACCCCCCACAAAGCGCACTTCAGCCAAAGCAGAACACTAACCGAGAACCGGTACCGCAGAATACCCCACCTGCTCTCCCACAGCCTGTGGGCAGAAGTGAGAGAACCGGCAAAGAGCTGGGCTATCTGAAAGACTATGTTCGCCATTGAACTGTTTGTTTAATTTTGTTTTCATATATTTTCAAGAGTAACACATTTTGAAACTGAAAAACCAATTTCCTGCGCAGTTGGCATAGTTTAATCACAAATCACCTTTTGTATTTTATTTTCACCAGAAACAAACAGTCTAAGTTTTCTTTTAATTAAGAAACCAGAAAATTAATTTTCTTTTCACTTAAAACAAGCAACGAAAGTAGTTGTACTTTATACAAGGATGAATAAGAGAAAAGCTCTTTTTTTTTGGAAGTTATAAAGAAAACATGAGAAATTTCACATGCTTAAAGAAACATGTAAAAAAACAAACAAGTGTTTCAAAACCTTGGACCTCCCTAGCCAGTGTTTAAGGTTAAAACTCCTAAGCCTGTCAACTTTTCAACTTTTGGCTCACGTTTCAAAAAAAAAAGAAAAAAAGGGAGGATGCTGCATATTAGTTTAGCAGACGGAATGTAAACAAGGAACGTTTAGGGCGCCCTCTGGCGATCCCTGTGTTGTTGCTAGAAAAGTCTGAATAAAGAGTCGCACTCGTGTTTCTTGTACCCTCCAAATTACTGTTCTCCCTACGTCTTTGCCTGCACCGGGTCACACAACAAAGTGTTTACATTATCATTGTGTGAATGGCTTCAACCAATTTGTTGACCCTCAAAACATTGGTTTAGACACCTCTTTTTATACAATAGGACACAGTCCTGTGGAGATACAGATATATGTTAAATTTCTTATAATGGTGGATGTTTATTTGCATATGAATCATCAAATACACACATTTTTATTGTCAAAATGGCTTTAATGAATTCGTTGACCCTAAAACATGGGTTTAGACACCTCATTTGATATGATTGGACACATTCCTGTGGAGACAATTTTAGATATTGGCAGATAATAATTTGCACATGCATAAATTAGTCATTGAAAAATGGCTTTAATGAATTGGTTTACCCCCAAACATGGTTTGGGCACCTCAGTTGATACGTTTGGACAAAATTCCGCAGAGATATATATAAAAAAAATTTTTGTAAAAATTCGTTATGGCGGAAACTAATCTGCATATAATTTTTTTTTTTCAATGCTCAAGGGTGCCAAGGTGGCACCTGTCGGAATATTGATCTACAAGGTCCAAATGACAAGAAAATGCAAAAACATTTGACACCAGGACTATAGGTGGAAATAAGGGAAAATAATGAAATTGAACACTGTGCCAATGCATGCACTGATTTCGTAAGCACGTTCTGTTGTTCTTGTTAGTAGAATTTTGAATTTGAAAACCCATATTTTTAAGCATTGGATGCACAATGATTTTAAAGCAAAATCCGTTTGGGTCAACAGAGGATATTTAAAAAATATGGTGAATTATATCAAATTCTCTACGATTCTGTTTAAATACCAGGTTGATGTTCTGGCATTAATCAAATGTGGAACTAACCTTCATAGTACAATATAACATTGCTATAATGACTACCACTATAACATGCACTGCTATAACAAAAATTCTCAATGTTCAAAACTTAATGGTCAAGTATACCAAGCCTTAATTGACCACTATACTTAACAATTTTTTTCTGGATATATTTTTCGTAATGATGGAATTCTAATGTAGGACTAACAGTAAATATAATCACAACATTGCAATATCCTTAAAATTACTTACCGTTCCTGCAAAAACAAATGTAGATTTGATGGGGCTAAAGCAGCAACTTGTCACTTCAGATCTGCATGATAGGATTCTGATGAAAAAAAGTATACAAAGTATGCATTATGCTCCAAATTAATAGAGGTACATGTATTATAATAATTTTGACTGATATAATAATATACAACACACAAAAAAGTTGTTTGTAATTATGGAGGGGGGGGGGGCAGGTAAACATCTTCCAAATGGGGCACTCTTCAAAAATGACCATTATATTATGCATACTGCCTAAATTACATATATGCCCATTTTCACGCCGCATTTTAATGGTTTTGAGTGGGTTTTCCTTGGTGGGATTGATGTCTGAACTCTCTAACCATTTACTAAAATTATTGCTGAAATTAAAATATTTCAAAGTGCCCCCCCCCCCTTCTGGATACGCCACTGCATTAGTCCAGCCGATATGTGACAAAATATCAATGAATTGTGCAAGCGTGAAACTTGGCACAGATGTTTATATTCATGCCAGAAAATGTTTTAAGATGTGGAGCCATCGCAAATATGACCTTTCAGGGATGTGGCAGCCATTTAAGAAAAAAAAAGGGGGGGGGGTGGGACTTGCCCGCAGTTAAAACAGTTGTTCCCACTTGTCACAAAAGTAGGAAACTTCACTAAGACATAATGATATCGATTGTAAGTGTTTTTCAGATATGGAGCCACCACAAAAGCACCTTTTGGGGGGCGTGGCAGCCATTTAAAAAAAGGGGGGTAATTATTATGCCCACCTTTGGAAAAATTGTGCCCACATTTCATAAAATGAATGAAACTTCCCACAGACGTTAACATTCATAAAAAAAAAAATCAAGATGTGGAGCAATCTCGAACGCACCCTTTTAGGAGTGTGGCAACCATATAAGTAAAAAGGGGGCGGGGTTTTCATTATGCCCACCATGGAAAAATTGTTCCCGCATTCATAAAGAAATGAAACTTCCCACAGACATTTGCATTCATGAGAAAAAAATCCAGATGTTAAGCCATAGCAAACACCCCCCTTTTAGGGGCGTGGAAGCCATATTGAATAAAAGGGGGCGGGGATCTCATTATGCCCACCATGGGCCTCATTCACGAGTCGGCCATACTGAATTGAAAGTGAAGTAAAATATTAATTTGTGGAACTTGCGAAGAGAAATGAAAGCAAGTTTATTCCTAATTAATTCCAATCTGCTTCAATGAATAATTTTAAATTTGTAATAAATCATTCCCTATTGTTTCAAGCCAGATTGAAAAAAAAAAGACAGTAAAATAAGGCTGCATTGTGCCTGCATAAATGTCTGGCGCCCTCCCATTGAACAGCTAATACTTAATGACATATGTTCAGGGAACTAGACAAAAATGGCCAACTCGTGAATAAGGCCCATGGAATAAAAAGGCGCTCGCATCTCATACATGAATTAAACTTCCCCAGGCGTTAATATTCACAAGGAAAAAAAGTTCAAACGTGGAGCCATCACAAACACACCCTTTTAGGGGCGTGGCAGCCATATTAACATGGGGGTAGTCAAGATTGCCCTATATACCTTTCAAAAATAAATTAAACTTCACACAGACAATATATTCATTGAGAATTCTTTCTTTTTCAGATGCGGGGCCATTGCAAACTTACCCTTTTAGAGGTGTTGCATCCATTAAAAAAAAAAAAATTGGGGGGGGGGGGCGCTACTAATCATTTGCCCACCCTGGAAAGTTGTTCCTACCTTTCATGAATGAGCAAACTTCACACAAACTGAACAAAAATAAATTAAGATGTGGAGCCACCACAAACTCGTCCTTTTAGAGGTGTGAGGGGCCTACTCACTGTGCCCACAATTGCAATTTTTATATTTTGTGGCCGATTTCTTATAATGGTGATTGGCCCATAACCTTTTCGACATTATTTGGTAACACCATTACTTACACCAAAGAGCATGGATAAGTAGGCTAACCAATTTTACGGTTAAACATGTGTACATGTACCTCTATTATCATGCACATCTAAATTCCAGAGTGATGTTATAATCACAAATACAAAGCAGACAGTGGTAGCACCAAACTCTTAACATTTAACATTAACATTTGACATTTAACATTTAAGGGCCAAGGAAATACTTTTTTAGTGGGGGGTGTCATTTGACGATTGGGTGCTGTTCAAAACAATTTACAGTCACGTTTTATAGCTATTTCAATAATCTTCAATATACGTTAAATGTGAAGTAAAATATTGACTTCCAGTCCATTTTATTCTTTTTTTATTTTCTGCATCTTTTCTCTTTTTCTCCTGGTGGGGGTGCAAAATCCCCTTACCCCCTACCCGTTGCGCCGCATTGAGAGCAGATTGGGTCACAACATGATGCACTCAGTGGTGGTCCACTATGACTTTGAATTCAATGAATCTGTGTACTGCACCCCCACTAATCCGTCCGTTCACTAAAAAATGGCATATCAATATCTCTGATGATTGTTTTACCCCATCCAAATCCAAAAAAAAATCAGCAGCCCTGACAACATTTTACTTTTCATATAGGTTGTGACACTGCATATGCCTGTGGGTCTGTCAGAAAAAAAAGCAAGGAAACATAATGTATTTGAAGAAGTAACAGTTGTCTTTCCAAGACTAACTGAGGTACCCAACTTTATACACCAATTCAAAAATTACTGCAGTTGAGAGGTTAACAATAATTCTACAGACAACAGAACCAGTATCACTGCGTTAATATAGATGAGGCAAGAATGCATCTGTGTAAGAAAAAAAGGGTTTGCCAACAGTCACTTCCATCTATAAAGGCGGCCCTACTCCAACACGTTAGCAGAGCTATCTAAGGTGGATTTTATTATATGAAAGGTTGTCAAATTTTCCAGGGTGGGCAAATTGAGTACCCCCCTCCCATTTAAAAAATGGATGCCACACCTCTAAAAGGGTAAGTTGGTGGTGTCTTCACATTCGAAAAAAAAGAAAGATTCTCATGATTATATTTTCTGTGTGAAGTTCAATCCGTTTATGAAAGGTAGGCACAACTTTTTTTATAGGGGAATCAAGAACCCCCCCCCTGCATTTTAATGTGGCTGCCAAGCCCCTAAAAGGGTGCGTTTGTGATGGCTCCATGTTCGATTTTTTTTTTTTCTCATGAATATTAACATCTCTAGGAAGCTTCATTCATTTATGAGATGTGGGCACATTTTTTTCCAGGGTGGGCATAATGAGAACCCCGCCCTCCTGTTTTCAATATTGTTGCCATGCCCCTAAAAGGGTGTGTTTGCAATGGCTCCACATCTGGATTTGTTTTTCTCATGAATGTAAATATCTGTGGGAAGTTTCATTTCTTTATGAATTTGGGAACAATTTTTCCATGGTGGGCATAATGAAAACCCCGCCCCCTTTTTTCTTATATGGTTGCCACGCCCATAAAAGGGCGTGTTCGAGATGGCTCCACGTCTGGATCTCTGCCAAGTTTCATGCCTTTATGAAAAAGTGCACAATTTTGTCACATATCCGCTGGACTGCATGGGCAAACTGGCAAATAAATACAATATAGTGGGGTACACCAGACCCTCTTGGTTGATCAGACCCAGCCATGAATAGGGCACACTGGGACCCACCGTATATAGGTCATACCATACCTTGATAGTTAGGGCATACCAGACACTTGTACATAGGGCACCAGACCCTGTCACAATTAGGGCACCCCAGGCCCTGATACATAGACCAGACCCTGATACATAGGGAACATTAATGTCCCTGATACGTAGGGCATACCAGACCCTGATACATAAGGGAAAACAAAACCCAGTTACATAATAATAATAATAATAATAATAATTTGGGAGGCTAATCATCCTTACTCGCAGCTGGTATGCTGAATTGCGAAGGACGTGGCTACAACGAGACTAGCCATAACATGTACAGAAATGGCAACACCAGGCCACACAAATTATCAAAGGCGAAAGGCATTTAAACAACAATATAAAATCCTGAATGAAAATTGAAAAATTAAACAAAACTTACCTGAAGTTGAAGTTTGATTAAAGTTCTACACTCCTCTCTGGAGGTGATATAAGGAATTACATGGGAGACGACCGCGCATGCGCAGACCAGACTTTAACAGATACGGGGACAGGTCCAGCCCAGACCTGCCATAAAATGTAGGGAGGGTGGATGTGGATGTTATTCCTTATATAACCTCCAGAGAGCAGTGTAGAACTTCAATCAAACTTCAACTTCAGGTAATTTTCGTTGAATTTTTCAATTCTACACTGTCCTCTTGAGTTGTGATAACGGAATTCCATCGAACTTCAAAGCTAACTGGAGCTGTCCCGTAAAAAAAAAAAACCACTCTAACTGCAAAGAAATGAAACAAAGGAAAATCATCTTTTTCATTCACTTCAGTTTGGTCTATTTTATTTGTAAGAACCATGCTCTTTTAACAATTAACAAGTCCTTAAATTTAAGCTCCTTTGTCTTCAAAAGAAAAAAAAAACAATTTGCTGGATCATCAAACAGGAAAATTACAAATGACTGAAATTCTGACAACCTTTTGCCTTTCAACAAGGTTGAAAAATACACAGCAACAACTGCCATAAACTGCAGTACAGCCCCAATCGTGGGTAAACAACAACTTTATAACAACTTAATGCAAATGCAAAACACTTGCCTGTTCAAATTACTTGTTTTAAAACCTGAATTGTCAACAATGGCACATAACCAAGAGTACAGATGTCCTATTAACCAGCAATTGTCTGTTTATTTGCATACACTTGACAGGACATGTTCCCCCATAGCTGATTCGGTTGTAACATTTTTCTTATAAAATCTAGCGAAAGTACCTGCATTTGACCAACCAGCTGTTTTTAAAATTTGAGGAATATACAAATACAGCAGGGTTTGAGTGGAAGTAGTGGGAATTACTGGTCCTGAGGTGCAGGTCAGCTTGACTACCTTCCGATGCGAAGCGGAGGGAGGTAGTCAAGCTGACCTACAGTACACCGAGGGATCAGTAATTCCAACTACTTTCCAGAAATAAACCATGCTGTATTTGTTTCACTACACCTCATACATGTAAA